TCTACGGAGCGGGAACTTTTCGGATTTGAACTCAGCGTGTTCGACAGTGTTAGTTCCCGTAAAAAGATTTCAGTTCCAAGACAAGCACTACGGAAATCGTATCCTAGGCACTTTTCAAGGCCACAGCAAACCGTCTATAATTAATAACTTGTTAATAATAGAATTTCAAACCGAGTACCTACTGTGAGTAATGAAACAAATAACCGATTGATGACAGTTTTTCGAATTCATTTAATGAGATAATGCGCTCTGATTTCCGGACTTTTGCATATTCAATCCGCAAAAGTTGCAATTTTTAGGCTGTGCGGGTCGTCATGAAAGGTTCCTGACGGTGAGGACAAGGTTCCTGACGGAGAGGACAAGGTTCCTGACGCTGAGGACAAGGTTCCTGACGCTGAGAACAAGGTTCCTGACGCTGAGGACAAGGTTCCTGACGCTGAGGACAAGGTTCCTGACGCTGAGGACAAGGTTCCTGACGCTGAGGACAAGGTTCCTGACGCTGAGGACAAGGTTCTTGACGCTGAGGACAAGGTTTCTAATGCTGAGAACAAGGTTCCAGACGCTGAGGACAAGGTTCCTGACGCTGAGGACAAGGTTCCTGACGCTAAGGACAAGGTTCCTGACGCTGAGGACAAGGTTCCTGACGCTGAGGATAAGGTTCCTGACGCTGAGCACAAGGTTACTGACGCTGAGGACAAGGTTCCTGACGCTTAGGACAAGGTTCCTGACGCTGAGGACAAGGTTACTGACGCTGAGGACAAGGTTCCTGACGCTGAGGACAAGGTTCCTGACGCTGAGGACAATGTTCCTGACGCTGAGGACAAGGTTCCTAACGCTGAGGACAAGGTTCCTAACGCTGAGACCAAGGTTCGTGACGCTGAGGACAAGGTTCCTGAGGCTGAGGACAAGGTTCCTGGCGCTGAGGACAAGGATTCTGACGGTGAGGACAAGGTTCTGACGCCGAGGACAAGGTTCCTGATGCTGAGGACAAGGTTGCCGACGCTGAGGAGAAGTTCCTGACGGTGAGGACAAGGTTCTTGACGGTGAGGTCAAGGTTCCTGACACTGACGACAAGGTTCCTGACGCTGAGGACAAGGTTCCTGACGCTGAGGACAAGGTTCCTGACTGTGTGAGGACAAGGTTCCTGACGCTGAGGACAAGGTTCCTGACGCTGAGGACAAGGTTCCTGACGCTGAGGACAAGGTTCCTGACGGTGAGGACAAGGTTGCTTACGCTGGGGACAAGGTTCCTGACGGTGAGGACAAGGTCTTGACGCCGAGGACAAGGTTCCTGATGCTGAGGACAAGGTTCCTGACGCTGAGGACAAGGTTCCTGACGCTGAGGACAAGGTTCCTGACGCCGAGGACAAGGTTCCTGATGCTGAGGACAAGGTTGCCGACGCTGAGGAGAAGGTTCCTAACGCTGAGGACAAGGTTCCTGGCGCGTGAGGACAAGGTTCCTGACCGGGAGGACAAAGTTCCTGGCGGTGAGGACAAGGATCCTACGGTGAAGACAAGGTCTTGACGCCGAGGACAAGGTTCCTGATGCTGAGGACAAGGTTGCCGACGCTGAGGAGAAGGTTCCTAACGCTGAGGACAAGGTTCCTGGCGCTGAGGACAAGGTTCCTGACCGGGAGGACAAAGTTCCTGGCGGTGAGGACAAGGATCCTAACGCTGAGGACGCAAAGTTGCTTACAAAGTTGCTTACGCTGAGGACAAGGTTCCTGACGCTGAGGAAAAGGTTCCTGACGGTGAAGACAAGGTTCCTGATGGTATGGACAAGGTTCCTGACGGTGAGGACAAGGTTCCTGACGGTGAGGACAAGGTTCCTGACACTGAGGACAAGGTTCCTGACGCTGAGGACAAGGTTCCTGACGCTGAGGACAAGGTTCCTGACCTTACGCTGGGGACAAGGTTCCTGACGCTGAGACAAGATTCTTGACGGTGAGGTCAAGGTTGCTTACGCTGGAGGTCAAGGTTGCTTACGCTGGGGACAAGGTTCCTGACGCTGAGGACAAGGTTGCTGACGCTGAGGACAATGTTCCTGACGCTGAGGACAAGATTCCTGACGCTGAGGACAAGGTTCCTGACGTGAGGACAAGGTTCCTGACGGTGAGGACAAGGTTCCTGACGGTGAGGACAAGGTTCCTGAGAGGGTGAGGTCAAGGTTCCTGACGGAGAGGACAAGGTTCCTGACGCTGAGGACAATGTTCCTGACGCTGAGGACAAGGTTCCTGACGCTGAGGACAAGGTTCCTGAAGGTGAGGACAAGGTTCCTGACGCTAAGGACAAGGTTCCTGGCGCTGAGGACAAGGTTCCTGACGGTGAGGACATAGGTTCCTGACGGAGAGGACAAGGTTCCTGACGATGAGGACAAGGTTCCTGACGGTGAGGACAAGGTTCCTGAGGCTGAGAACAAGGTTCCTGATAGTGAGGACAAGGTTCCTGACGGTGAGGACAAGGTGCCTGACTTTGAGGACAAGGTTCCTTACGCTGACGACAAGGTTCCTGACGCTGAGGACAAGGTTCCTGACGCTGACGACAAGGTTCCTGACGCTGAGGACAAGGTTCCTGACGCTGAGGACAAGGTTCCTGACGTGAGACAAGGTTCCTGAGGTGAGGACAAGGTTCCTGACGGTGAGGACAAGGTTCCTGATGCGTGAAGACAAGGTTCCTGATGGTGAGGACAAGGTTCCTGATGCTGAGGACAAGGTTCCTGACGCTGAGGACAAGGTTCCAGAAGGTAAGTGCAAGGTTCCTGACGCTGAGGACAATGTTCCTGACGGTGAGTACAAGGTTCCTGACGCTGAGGACTAGGTTGCTGACGGTGAGGACAAGGTTGCTGACAGTCAGGACAAGGTCCCTGACTGTGAGGACAAGATGCCTGACTGCGAGGACAAGGTTCCTTACGCTGACGACAAGGTTCCTGACGCTGAGGACAAGGTTCCTGACGCTGACGACAATTCCTGACGTGAAGACAAGGTTCCTGACGCTGAGGACAAGGTTCCTGACGCTGACGACAAGGTTCCTGACAGTGAGGACAAGGTTCCTGACGGTGAGGACAAGGTACATGAGGGTGAGGACAAGGTTCCTGACGGTGAGGACAGGGTTCCGGACGGTGAGGACAAGGTTCCGGACGCTGAGGACAAGGTTCCTGACGGTGAGGAGTCAGAGGTTCCTGACGGTGAGGACAAGGTCCCTGACGTGAGGACAAGGTTCCTGACGGTGAGGAGTAGGTTCCTGACGGTGAGGACAAGTTTCCTGACTGTGAGGACAAGATTGCAGACGCTGAGGAGGTTTCTAACGCTGAGGACAAGGTTCCAGGCGCTGAGGACAAGGCTCCTGACGGTGAGGACAAGGTTCCTGACGCTAAGGACAAGGTTCCTGACGCTGAGGACAAGGTTCCTGACGCTGACGACAAGGTTCCTGACTGCAAGGTTCCTGAGTGAGGACAAGGTTCCTGATGGTGAGGACAAGGTTCCTGACGGTGAGGACAAGGTTCCTGACAGTGAGGACAAGGTTCCTGACGCTGAGGACAAGGTTCCTGACTGTGAGGACAAGGTTCCTGACTGTGAGGACAAGCTTCCTGACTGTGAGGACAAGGTTCCTGACGCTAACGCTGACGACAAGGTTCTTGACGCTGAGGACAAGGTTCCTGACGCTGAGGACAAGTTCCTGACAGTGAGGACAAGGTTGCTTACGCTGGGGACAAGGTTCCTGACGAGGACAAGGTTTCTGACGCTGAGGACAAGGTTTCTGACGCTGAGGACAAGGTTCCTGACGCTGACGCTGAGGACAATGTTCCTGACGCTGAGGGCAAGATTCCTGATGCTGAGGACAAGGTTCCTGACTGTGAGGACAAGGTTACTCACGGTGAGGACAAGGTTCCTGAGAGTGAGGACAAGGTTCCTGACCGAGAGGACAAGGTTCCTGACGCTGAGGACAAGGTTCCTGACGCTGAGGACAAGGTTCCTGACGCTGAGGACAATGTTCCTGACGCTGAGGACAAGGTTCCTGACGCTGAGGACAAGGTTCCTGACGTGCTGAGGACAAGGTTCCTGGTGCTGAGGACAAGGTCCCTGAGGTGAGGACTAGGTTCCTGACGGAGAGGACAAGGTTCCTGACGCTGAGGACAATGTTCCTGACGCTGAGGACAAGGTTCCTGACGCTGAGGACAAGGTTACTGACGGTGACGACAAGGTTCCTGACGCTAAGGACAAGGTTCCTGACGCTGAGGACAAGGTTCCTGGTGCTGAGGACAAGGTCCCTGACGGTGAGGACTAGGTTCCTGACGGAGAGGACAAGGTTCCTGACGGTGAAAACAAGGTTCCTGACGGTGAGGACAAGGTTCCTGACGCTGAGAACAAGGTTCCTGATAGTGAGGACAAGGTTCCTGACGGTGAGGACAAGGTTCCTGATGCTGAGGAGAAGGTTCCTGACGCTGAGGAGAAGGTTTCTGACGCTGAGGACAAGGTTCCAGAAGGTAAGGACAAGGTTCCTGACGCTGAGGACAAGCTTCCTGACGCTGAGAACAAGGTTCCTGAGCGTGAGGACAAGGTTCCTGACGGTGAGGACAAGGTTCCTGACGGAGAGGACAAGGTTCCTGACGGTGCGGACCAGGTTGTTGACGGTGAGGACAAGGTTCCTGACGCTGAGAACAAGGTTCCTGATAGTGAGGACAAGGTTCCTGACGGTGAGGACAAGGTTCCTGACTTTGAGGAAAAGGTTCCTGATGCTGAAGACAAGATTCCTGACGCTGAGGACAAGGTTTGTGACGCTGAGGACAAGTTTCCAGAAGGTAAGGACAAGGTTCCTGACGCTGAGGACAAGGTTCCTGACGCTGAGAACAAGGTTCCTGGCGCTGAGGACAAGGTTCCTGACGTGGAGGACAAGGTCCTGACGCCGAGGACAAGGTTCCTGATGCTGAGGACAAAGTTGCCGACGCAGAGGAGAAGGTTCCTAACGCTGAGGACAATGTTCCTGACGCTGAGGTCAAGATTCCTGATGCTGAGGACAAGGTTCCTGACTGTGAGGACAACGTTCCTAACGGTGAGGACAAGGTTCCTGAGAGTGAATACAAGGTTCCTGACGGAGAGGACAAGGTTCGTGACGCTGAGGACAATGTTTCTGACGCTGAGGACAAGGTTCCTGACGCTGAGGACAAGGTTCCTGACGGTGACGACAAGGTTTCTGACGCTGAGGACAAGGCTCCTGACGCTGAGGAAAAGGTTTCTGTTGCTGAGGACAAGATTCCTGACGGTGAGGACAAGGTTCCTGACGGTGAGGACAAGGTTCCTGACGCTAAGGACAAGGTTCCTGACGCTGAGGACAAGGTTCCTGCCGCTGAGGACAAGGTTTCTAACGCTGAGAACAAGGTTCCAGACGCTGAGGACAAGGTTCCTGACGCTGAGGACAAGGTTCCTGACGCTGAGGACAAGGTTCCAGACGCTGAGGACAAGGTTCTTGACGCTGAGGACAAGGTTTCTGATGCTGAGGACAAGGTTCCAGACGCTGAGGACAAGGTTCCTGACGCTGAGGACAAGGTTCCTGACGCTGAGGACAAGGTTCCTGACGCTGAGGACAAGGTTCTTGACGCTGAGGACAAGGTTTCTAACGCTGAGGAAAAGGATGTTGACGCTGAGGACAAGGCTCCTGACGCTGAGGAGAAGGTTCCTGACGCGAGGACAAGGTTCCAGACGCTGAGAACAAGGTTCCTGACGCTGAGGACAAGGTTCTTTACGCTGAGGACAAGGTTTCTAATGCTGAGAACAAGGTTCCAGACCCCGAGGACAAGGTTCCTGACGCTGAGGACAAGGTTCTTGACGCTGAGGACAAGGTTTCTAATGCTGAGAACAAGGTTCCAGACCCCGAGGACAAGGTTCCTGACGCTGAGGACAAGGCTCCTGACGCTGAGGACAAGGTTCCAGACGCTGAGGACAAGGTTCCTGACGCTGAGGACAAGGTTCTTGACGCTGAGGACAAGGTTCCTGACGCTGAGGACAAGGTTCCTGACGCTGAGGACAAGGTTCCTGACGCTGAGGACAAGGTTCCAGACGTTGAGGACAAGGTTCCTGACGCTGAGGAGTAGGTTCTTGACGCTGAGGACAAGGTTTCTAATGCTGAGAACAAGGTTCCAGACGCTAAGCCAAGGTTTCTGATGCTGAGGACAAGGTTCCTGACGCTGAGTACAAGGTTCCAGACGCTGAGGACAAGGTTCCTGACGCTGAGGACAAGGTTCTTGACGCTGAAGACAAGGTTTCTAA